AGAGATAAGTTCAAGTAGAGCGTCAATTTCACGACTAACTAACCCAACTATGAGCAGCACATATTTTTCTTTTGGTAGTACATATTATAATCAGACGCAAGGATACACACTATGAGTACCAGGCGAACCAATGCAAGTATTTGTCTGTATGCTATTCTGTCTGAGTGCTTCAACTATCTGTCGATCGGACGGTCAGTCGTTCAGTCTGTCTGTCGGCTAGTCAAGTTATTCGGTAAATCGGTAAATCAAGTTGTCCGTTACTTTATATATGTTTAAATAGATAAGCAGCACTTGTAAGTCTGTATAATTTTCAGTAAACAAGTCGAGATAGCAATTAGTCTGTCACTCCATCCATCTAAGATAATGAATTTCGATCCGCTATTCCAAGAGCTTACATGTTAGTACATCGCTCGAACGAATTTGTGCATATGACTATGCTAAAGTAGTGAAAACTTGCATCGAGAAACTGATAGGTCAAAACGAAGCCTGAAATAGAGATAAAACATGAGAATCTTAAAATATGAGTTGACAAGTGCACCAACAAGTGAGCAAAAGGTTCAAGAAGGATTTACTAAAAGGACAAAGAAGGAAAGCATTGATTGAAAGAAGAAGAAATGTGTTTCAAAGTAAAGATAACAAGGTAGGAATAAAAACACAAAATCATATTCAACAAAGTTTGCATGCATTTATAAAGCTTAGGCCCCAAAATGATATTTGGCATATAACCTGTCTCCTCTTCTCCCTCCTTATTTTCCTACAAGTATAACTATTTTCTCTACTCGTACTCAATTATTTCAATGTATTAATGTTTCTAAGGCTGTAACTTCAGTATTTCCTGAGATCAAAGGTGAGTTTAATCTCTCGCGTTTTTTTCTGTGTATACAATTTGTTGGAATTCGACACATCAAAGGACCTTTTCGTGTTGTAATTGCATTTTCGTTTGCCAAATGCCACCGAATCCGGCCTATTGGGAAAGCAATTTATGCTGCCCTTCGCGAGACTGCTCGAATGTGATAGCGTTTTGCGCAGCTATTCAAACTGATTTGACCAGAGAATGCAATTCGGCCTCACAGTTGGGACAAACTCTTTGCCAATTGGTGAATCGCGTGAATGCCGTATCGATCGCTCGCTCGCTCGTGAGCGCCTAATGCCTGGCTAAATGAGTCGATGACTCACCGCTCTGGCGGCGGCAGCCACGGCGTCTGGCCAATGCGGTCTGGAGCCGGAGATTTGAGCTAAACTCACCACCAAATGAGGAACGCATTGAGCGTGGATTACGCCAAAAAAAGCCTTGAACTTTTCCACGCAAACAGGTGATGGGCTGTAAATCGCATCCAACTTGGCGTACGCTCATAAAGTCTTTTCACACTTGAACTGACCGCAAATTCACCATAAAGCGCTCCAGTCGCCATTCAACTAAGGTACCGCTTTTTTCGTTTATTAGCAGGTTGTCGAGACTACCAGTAGATCGCGTATATTCTTCTTTTGGACGATTTACTTTCGAAGTCATTTCAACTTGGTCGTGTTGTCAGGGCGATCCAGATAAGCACATTTCATCCAAAATTCTTTGCCAAGTTGCCCATGACGGTGTCCACAGTCGACCCGTGGACTTTGTACATTCGCAGACCTTTTTGTGGAATCCTAGTCGACATCCTCAGTCAACTTTGCCAG